CAGATGGAAAATAAGCCCAGAAGTACTCCGAGCGGCTTCCGGCCTCTTGCGAACTGATCGGCGAGGGAGTGCTATTAATTTTAAGCGACCGAAGGAAACTGCCACAAACGGGATGTGAGAGCCTGCAACTATTGCAGGTCACTATCGAGGGAGGAATTCACGAAAGGAATAAAGCTTTCACTCACCTTCACCGGTACTAATGTTTTTCCTTCGGTATTCTTCATCGTGCTGCTCTGAACAAGCAACTCCTCGTCACGTTTCTGACTGTTCTTTGGGATATCGAATTCCTCAGCAACGAGGCTCGAGCTTTCGCTTGCACTGCCACCTTTCACTGACTGTGCAGGACCGGGCGCTAAATCAGATTTTAGTTTGGTTTTTAAAAATGAATTGTAATCACTAGAAAATGTTTTCATCGAACCGTTTCCTTCTTCGCTCGCAGCAAATTCCTTATCGCAGCGGAAACACCTGCAATCGTTTAAGAAGTTAGTACAGTGTTTTGCATCTTTTTGCCAGACAAAAAGCCATAACGTGATAAATGGTACAGACAATACTGTTACGGTTTCAGAAACAAGAAAATTAATTGAACGCATTCCCTATTATTCGCTAATGCGCCCCGGACAGCGAAACATGAGAAAAAAAGGAACCTAGTATCTTTTTTTAGCATACACATGAGTTAATACATTGCCTGAGTGGCTGCACTTTGCAACTGTTCGACACTTTGCACAATTATAAAATAAATGCATTTCACCAGTTCCGCGAACTTTTAAAATCTTGCACTCTTTTAAACTACGCAAAAATTTGCATGGCCATGCGGACAATCGATGTGGGAATTCGATTTCAGTGTGATGCAACCGCAACTGAGTCTGAGTAATTCTGCCAAGCCCTTCCGGTCTGATAAATTCGAAAAAATTAACAAGTACGAATTACCGAAATTTTCCGCTTCGTTCGGCAAAAAATAACGGATGCTCCGTGCCGCTTCGCTGCGCTTCAAAATGATTCAGTGTGTGATTTTTCTCATCACATCCAAAATAACTGCACGTAACACAGATCCATACCTTCAACGTAACAGCGGACGTTAGGAGGATGCAATATTAGTGTCAAAACCTAAAGCCAAAACCCCTCCGTGGATAGCAGAGATCGAATACACCTGTACATGTAACCAAAGATGTAAGGAAGGGGGAGGGGAGAGGCAGCGGACGCTATTTGGCACAAAAATGCTCAGGACAATCGGTAAATAAACAAAATTTCGAATAATAAAATCGGCTTACTGATTGGCGCTGTTCCGGTGGGTTCAGTCTGGCGCAATCATCGCAGTAATTGATCGTCAGTCGCTTCTTCAGATTTGCCTTCAGTTTTTTTCGCAGTGCTGCAGCTTTGAATAGCCCTTTTCTGTTCTTGTGCGGGCAATTGACGCTTTTTAGCAACTGCTCAACACCTGCAAACAGAACAGTGCAAGGAGCAAGCATCAATCGAACAATACTGTCTATGGAAATGCCTGGAATTTCAATTAAAGATGTACAGATGGTAGCCAATGAGTGCAGCTGATACGGCCGTGGATCGAAAAGCCCGGACCCGGCCAGTGGAAGCATCCCAGTAACACGTCTCATTGACATAGCACGCAAATAGTGATCTGACCGATTGCATGTGCCGTTTTCACGTGAGACAAGTTCCCCAGAGAGGCAGAACTTCAGATGCATACCGTTATTTTCGGCATCAGCAACAATCCCATCTTCTTGTGGCACTTCGACCGGATCTTGCACTACCTCCTCAACCATACGAATTTGCTCCTTTTACAACTGCTCGTGCGCTGTTCGTTGCGCTTTTTGTTTCCTGTTTTTCTTTCTAAAAAAAAAAAAATTCCTGAAAATAGTCGTTTTTTGAAGCACAATCCTATGAGTCAGATATGCGCGTGCAGTAGAGCATCTCGGACATCATCACACTGCAATCTATGTTGTAGCTATAGAGGGTGTTGCGCTTCCACCACGAACGGGTCATCTCGGCTGATAACGCATTGTGACAGCTAAGCATCCTGGGGTCACAGCTGTTGGACTGCTGGAGCCGGGGCATTACAACAGCGGACCTTCTCGATCTCTGAAGTGACCGGTAACAGTCAGCCGGCCACTGAGCTAATCGCCCAGTCACTCGATCGATTGATCAGGCAGCGATCCACAGTGAACTGATCAAGCAGTCAGTCGGTCGGTGCTATCCAGCCAGCGCAGATTGGGTCAAGCAGCAGCAGCAGCAGCACGATTCACGCCATGCACTTCAGCAGAGAAAACCTCACTTTACAGTGTTTCTGTGCAGTGAGCAATGCAGCACGACGCACTGGGAAATGATGATCGGCTCTCACAGTGTATAGAACCTCGCTTTGCACTGCTTTCATGAAGTAAGCAGTGCAGCAGCAAGATTATCGCTAGAAGCAAGTTCTCTAAAAAGAAAACCACAATTTCTCGGCTGATTAGGTACTGGGGCGATGACTGGCTCAAGGGGAAGGTGGCTGAAGAAACGATGACGATGAGGTACTGCATGGCAATAAAGTGCGGGAGGTGGGGAGGCAGCCAGGCACATCTGCACGAGTAGCTACGACGGGGGAGAGTTTGTAAGTGCAAGTGAAAAACCAATGAAGCGCGTACTGCCCGAGGTTTTTTGGCGACCGAGTGCTGCTGGAAGAAGGCACCACAAACTGACGCATAAAACGAAGCAACCCCTTTTCAGCCTCACTGAAAACACATAGGAACGACTGAGAGCATCCCTCACGTGAA